ACTAAATGAAAATTAGAATGCAACTTGTCGAAATTTGTGAGACACAGCAAAAGCAGTACTTAGAAAGAAACTGATAGGATTGAATGCATCAATTTGAAAAGAAAGACTTAATACCTTTGAGGGGCTTTGGTTTACTGACCTGATTGACGTTTCGCTGTTTCCAAAATACTGGGAAACATGAATTCCTCTTTAGGTAGCACAGTGAAAGAAGAAGGAACCCCACCCCACACACAAAGGCAAGGATGGGAAAACCTAGGAAGTTGAGCAGGAACTCAGCCATGATGTAATAAGGCTTCTCAGAAAGAAGATGGTCTGAATCATCAGAAGTGCATTGCTGCATCAGGCATCTGGGCATTGAGAGTGCACATTCTAGACTAGAGTTCTAGGCCCACATCACAGAGGTTTAGCATAGACTCCAAAGGTTCTTGAGGGTGGGGGAGGGGACAACACAGGAGAGATGAACCCACAACCCTTCCCCTACCACCTAGTCCACCATATCTGTCCATCCCTCCAGGGCCCTTTAGATACCTCTAACTTACCTTCCACCTCCATACATTCCCCAGACCCAGACCATATATTACCTTAGTGAAATTTTCTATTTATTCCATCTGTTACCCAGATATTACCTGAGACTCTTTTACTGCTTGGTGATCTCTCTTTGGACCCCACATAAGCTTTAAAAGTCTGCTATGCCCAGGGATTTACACCTCAAGATCCACTCTGCCCTCAACTACAGCTTCTTCTCAAACATAATGTTTTTACCTGTGTGAAGTCAGAAATATACCCAGCAGCAGCCCCACACCGTCCCACATCTCCTAGAAAGAATCCACATTACCAAAAAGCATGAGAATACAGAGTAGCCTGTACCAGTGAACAGGAAGCATGACGAAAAGGGAAATGGGCATGGCACACCCATGAACCCACGGCAAGCAACTTAAAAATCTTAGTACTTCTTTTTCCCCAAAAATCCCACTTAGGCTGTTCAGCTCCCAAGGGTCCTCAGATCTAGCTCCCTTCACCCATAGTGTCTCAACCCACTGCTCCTCCTTTCTTCTGCCAAATCCTGTCTCTCCCCACAACATTTAACATTTTTCCTTTATTGTGCAGGACACAACCTGCAGGACCAAACTCATCTTGATTTAGGGAGTAGGTTTCTCTTTGGCATAACTTCTAATGAGCAGTTACATTTAGAGACAGCTTTTGGCTTTTTTGAATCACAGGTATGGTTACTTCTTCATGAAAAGTTTTATGATTTTTTTCCCCATCTATTTGCTAACTTTTCACCAAAATTCCTTTTGGCATGGCTATACCTTTTTAAACAATAGTCATTTTTGTTGTTACATTTGGTGTATATGTATTGACTTTATTTCCTTATGCTAGCTAGTCATTTAATAGTTGTAACCCTTATAGCTTCATTATTTAGATTATAAACTGCTGAAATTAAGCCCTGTGTCATTTCCTTGCTTTGCATGCCTGCATTCCCTTGCTGATTCCAATGAATCAGTCTTGACCCAGACATCCCCATTCTTTCCCTCCCATATGAGGAAGCTTTACCAGTAATGACAGCTCTTTCTCTGCCTGTCTTCTGCATCCACAGCTCCACCATTTTTGCTACCCAAAAGAAAAGCCCACCCCATCTCACATACCCTCCTCCCTTGCCTGCAGGAGATGTGTCTGTTCAGAAAAAATCCCTCTACATATCTTTGTATCTCTGGTATTGTTGTTGTTGTTGTTGTTAATAGAAAGTCTAGTCCTGACTGTCCCTAAGGTTCTTATGTTTCATGACTGTAAAACCATCCTTTAAACTCTGAGCAAGATAAGCTCCACCAAAAATTTTTCCAGGTGAGTAGGGGTTATAAAAATGACACATCAAATATACTCTTAAAAAATGGCCTTGTTATAAAAAAAGACTGAGAAACACTGATCCAGATTAAAGGAGACAGAAGACACATGTCAACTAAATGCAATATGTGATTCTACACTGAATCCTGTAATGGAGGTTTTTTTAAAAAGCCACAAAGGACATTACTCAATAAATTGACAAAAATGGAATATGAATGAGATATTAATTAAAAGTTTTATGCCATTGTTAAATTTACTGAAGGGGATAAATTACTGTATGTAAGAAAATCTTGTTCTTAAATACACAATGATACTCAAGGAGAAGGTGCATGATACAGGAAATGTATTCTCAGATGTTCAGGAATGTATGCATATTTTTCATATATATGTGTATGTGTGTTTATTCATATAGAGAGGAAAGGGAGGCAGGGACTGAAGGAGACAGAAACAGACATAAAGAGACAGGAGAGAGATTGCAAATGGGTCAAAGTGTCAATAGGTAAGTCTGGATAAAGGGTAGATGGCTTTACCAACCATGCAACTTTTCCACAAGTTTACTTTCAAATGAATACATTTTAAAAAATACATTGACTGCTGTTCTGAATTGTGCATAACCTTTGAGATTTCTGGCTTTGATTCCTGCAGCTGCCACCACCACCATATCCAGACCCCAGAAGGGTTTAATGCCAACTATAAAATTTATCTCAGGTTCTGTCCCAGGCAAGGAATCTGGGATCCTCTGCACATTTCAGCGGTTTTACAGAATGCTGGAGAATAGCAACTACCACCTAAAAAACAAAAAAGGTCTTTCAAACTTATTCACAATATGAAAAAGGACCCCCAATTTGTTTTCTTATCTGGTGCCACCACATCATTCATCTTCTGGGGTTCTGTGGTGTGAACTGGTTTTCCAGTGCTTTGTCTGCTCTGCTTGTCAGCGACCACTCCTTCACCAGATTTCCATCTTCCAAAAATGTGTTGACATCTTTTGTTGTATCCTCTCTCCTTCTTGTTATCTTGAAGTGCTTACTCTTTTTAAATTCCTTGTTTTAACCGCTTTATTGAAATATAGTTCACATACCATAGAATTCACCCATTTAAAATAATTCTAGGATTTTTAGTATATTCACAGACATCTGCTTCACTAGAGTCAATTTTTAAAACATTTTCCTGACTTCAAAAAGAAACCCCGTAAACTTTAGCTATTATCCCCCTCATCCCCCGGGCCTAAGCAACTACTAATCCACTTTCTGTCTTCTCTAGGGCTCCCTATTCTGGACATTTCTATGAATGGAATCATACATGGTCATTTGTAACTGGCTTCTTTAACTTAGCATAATGTTTTCAAGGTTCATCCATGTTGTAGCATTTATCAGTGCCAAAAATATTATACTGTATGGATATATCGTATTTTATTTACCCACTCATCAGCTGATGGATATTTGGGTTGTTCCCACCTTTTAACTGTTATGAATAATACCACTATGAACATTTGTTTACAAATTTTTGTGTGGACATATGTTTTCATTTCTCTTGCATGTATGTACCTAGGAGTGGAATTGCTGGGTCATAATGGCAACTCTATGTTTAACATTTTGAGATACTGCCAGACTGTTTCCCAAAACAGCTGCTCCATTTTTCATGTCCATGAGCAATGTAGTAGGGTTCCAGTTTCTTCAAATTCTCACCAACACTTGCTTTACTCTGACTTTTTGATTCTGGCCTTCCTTGTGTGTGTGAAGTGTTATCTTAGCAGCTTTGATTTGCATTTCCCTAGTATACCTCTTCACGTCCCCCACCCTGGGCCCCATCCCACCTTTTGTCCCTCCCAGGGCCTCCAGAGAATCTGCCTTCTGCAACCATAAGCGTCAGATAACGTAGGATCAATGTCCTAACTCTGGATAAGAAGATGAAAGTAGGGAGAGAAGGCTATAGTGGTCATCTATTTTTTGGTGGTTGTTGTCGTTTTAACAGCCAGCATCCATAAGTCTGTTTGGAAGAACTACCTCAAGTGCTCTCTAGGACACTCACACTATTTTTGAGTCGCAGACAGTACAAGTGGAGTTGCCTTCTGTCTAGACCTCAGTTATAAGGATGGGTATGTGTGCAGCTTTGGTCAAAAAAAAAAAAAAAAGCAGGCCCATGGTGAGCCCTCAAAAATCTGTAACCCTAGTGCATAGTCTAGGACTCACCTCTGGTTCATGAGCTGCAGGTATTCTGGGGGAGGTCTACCATGCCTCCACCAAGGATATTAATATCAAAGGTCGCCCTCCATCCTGATAGGTGAACTGTACACAAGATCTTGTATACTGCTATCAAACATAGATAGAAGGAAAGCACCAAGTTCACCTTCCTCAAAGAGGGGGATGCCATGCTTGATGACATCCCTGGATATATTGTTCTAGCACTCAAGGATACCCCCGTTCCTTTTTGGTGTAAGGCATGGGTGTGGTGTGCAGTGTTCCGATCAGCCTCAAGGACATGATCAGGCTGAGGAACGGGGGAGCAGGACAGGGTCCCAATATGGGAATGATGAGGCATAAACCTTTGTTCCATCAGGAAGGACGTTCTTTCCTTCACTTTTTCTTACTATCCCACTCACTTTAAGGCATCTTTTCCTTACACTCAGCTTTATGACAGATTCTTAAGCAGCTTCTATGCTGTGCCTAGACCTTACCACAACCAGCCCAGGACCCAGTACAGCAATAACCCCTGCCCAAACAGTGCCATTCAGAGTTCAGCCACCTGTAGGAGCCTCTGGTCACTGGGTTCTAAATAACGATTAAGCTGTTGTTTCTTCAGCTTTATTTTCAGAAAGTATTATACCTGTCTTAACCCTCTTCAGATATAGAAGACCTGTCATCCCTCCTTCTCTAAAGGATATAAAACATTCAGTGAGGGGGAGTGTAGACTGCTATGCATTTTCATTAAGGCTGAGTTAAGAGGCAGGAGAGGAAGCCTGTCTCCTCAAGCTTCATCAGGGAGGAAATGGGCTTTTAGGGCACATGATACCTATTTCTCAACAACAGCTCCAGGGCACTGGTCACCTTTTAGCCAAAGTCAAAGGAAGCAAGCAGTAAGAACTGAACTCTCCTTCCCCTACAAACAAGCCGAGTTACCCCAAATGCATACCCCCAACACCATACACAGAAAAGATATATTAGAGAAACATTTATTGGGAAGAATGAATATTCTCCACAAAGAAGGAATTATTTTGGAGTGGGAAATTTTCCTCCATGGAAATCCTGGAGAAGCATTTTCTGTCTGAACAGTAGAGACAGATCCCTCAACACAGTGCCTTCAGCAGTGGTGACGGCAGCTGGAGGGCCCTGGCCAGCTTGATGCCTGCAGGTGGGGTTCAGATGGGGCACAGGATCCCTACGGGGCACTGGTGGGGGACGTTTCTGACACAATAGCTGGTCCTTAAATGCCACAACTTTCTGGGGGTGTCTGTTCTTGTCTCTGATCCGTCTAGCACTTGGAGGATGACTTGGACCAGCAAAGATAGCTTCTTGACGGCAAGACTTGGTATTTGTCACTTTACAGGAGGGAGCCTCATAGTTGAGAGGATGCCCCGGAACGGGCTCTGCCCTGATCTGCACTTCTGCCTTTTGCTGAGTTTTCCCAAACTGCACTGGGGAAGGAAGGGGCTCTTGAGAGCAGGTGACATCAGTTGCATGCTGACACCCCAGTTTCTCCTCTAAGAACTTCCCAATGTCTGTCATGATTTTCTGAGCTTCAGTCGTCCTTGTAAAGGCAGCTTTACTTTTAACGAGGCCTCTGCTCTGGGCAGTTAATATGGGGCTGACTTTTTTCTGGGGATCTTCTTGCCTTTTGCATTTTACCCCAGGATAAAGCCATTGCAAAAAATGCTTCATTCTTTTTTTGATAAGGCTTTCAGGAGGAGGCTGTCCCTTCTGTGATAGGGTCTGGGAAGACTTGCTCCCAACTGTCTCTTCAACTGCCATCTCCTGAGTAGGGAAACTCTTACTTTCAGGTTGGGATGTCCCAAGCCCTGCATCGCCTCCACCAAGCTCTTCTGCTTTGGGTCCCAGAGGGCTCACTCTCTTTGCAGTTGGTGGGAAATTCTTATCCTGGCACCTCCTTAAGACATGTTTAGGGACCCAGGTCTCCTGCTGCTGCTCCATCCCGAGTCCTCTATCACCTAAATGGACATGCAGCACCTGGGAAGTGCCCATGTCTCCACCTGAGACACCCTGGGTATGAGTCAGTGAGGCTTTGTAAGTCAAGTTATCTGAAGCAAGGGACATGTCAGTAGCTTGGCCTTGAGCCTGGCTAGGTTCCCTGTTCTCCAATTTAAATTTTAACTCACCAAACAGTTGTTCTTTAAGGTCTAATGATTTAGGATCCGGGGGAACTGCTAGCTTTGGTGGGGGGCTTTTGGTGGTCACAGTAGTTTCTACTTTACTCTCATTCAGGTTTATCATTTGGGAGCTTCCTGGCTTGCTGGTTGTCAACATACCATTAGTTTTTAATTGAAGAGTCTCGAGCTCCTCAGCCCTGAATATCTCCCTAGACACTTTGGGCATGGAAACAGGCTGGGACTTCTCCATGTTTTTGCCCTGTTGCTTTTCTGCTCTATCACTGGAACTCACACTCTGACACTGTGGCTTATCTCTGGCCCCAGCTTGCTTTGCAGGCTGCTTTGGGGGGTGTCTGTTGGCTAGTAGAGCCTGTTTCTGACTCGCTTTCCCTCTGACACAGTGTGTGACAGGTAGAGGAGTCTGTCTGGCATTCTTAAGTCTCTGAACATCCTCTGCAAGCCCACGGTTGATTTCAGAGCGTGATTGTCTCAGGACCTTCTGTCCTTCTTTGTCCACAGGTGAGGTGGCAGGGAGAGAATGATCCAGAACAGAGGCTGAGTTTGTTGTTTCCACTATGTCTCCATAAAGAGATTTAGAGCTTCCTCTAAAGGACCTGAAGCCCCCAGATTTGGAGTCCACCTCAGAAATCACATCGGTCGAAGAAGGGAAGTTGGAATGGGACAAGGACTGGGATGAGGCATCTTTCAATTTAAAGATCTCTATGGATTCAGCGACCCTAGGGGGAAGTCCCCACACCATCCTCATACGAAACCTTTTGATATGGGTTTCCAGCATCTGGTGTGCACTGGAATCAACAAAGGAAAGATCCTGGCAGGTATTCAGGGAGTAGCTCTCATCCACTGATGATGACAAACTTCTCTGTTTTATTTGAGTGTGGGATTTCACAGAAAGAAACAATGTCTGCTTAATAGCATGCCATGAACTATGCACAGTCCCAGGGAGCCGGCCCTCACTGATTTCCTCAAACTTCTTGCTCAAATGTACTTTCAGGACATTTTCAAGTTGTCTCTGATTTAGACTCCCTGCTAATTCCCTTGAATTTTTCTCTGAGGGACTCTCCATCTGACTGTTTAGGTCTTTCTCAGAGTCATACCCCAGATCCTTATCTGGAGAGCTCTTTGGGTCATTCAACAGATGATATTTTGGGCCATTCTCTTGGCTATGTCCCTGATCCTTCCCCACATCTTCCTCTAGCTGGAGCATTTCTGAGTCCTTCTCATGGAAGCTTCCAGGTTGGCTCAATCCAACATTTAGATTTTTGCTACTCTGACCCTTAAACACAGAGATCAGTGAAACTCCATCATTGCTCTCTAACTCAGAAATCTCTGAAAATTCTCTTGGAGGCATCATCAGTGACACAGAGTCGTAGATTCTGCGAGGCAGGCCCCACCGGTGTTGGATGAGCCTCTTCCGAAGGTGATGCTCTAGTTTCTTCCGAAGTTCATCACTGAGAGGAAACTTTCCAGGAAGGATGGAGACTGAAACATGGGCCAGGGAGGGCCGGGAGTGAGGAGCATCAGAAGCTGATGGACAAAACTCTTCTTGAGATCTTTGGACCACAGAGGGTAAACCCCACAAACTTTTCTGTTGTTTCTGCAATATGTTCCATTCCAGGTGTTGAATTTCAGATGAGGCAAGAGACTCCGATTCATTCTGAGGTCTATGGAAACACACTCCACAGATCCTAATCTGGGGTAAAGGACTAGATGGTATGACTGGGAGTGGGGACTGAGACTGGGCCTGGGGCTGGGCCTGAGTGAGAGGTAGGGGCTGTGGCTCAGGTACAGTTTGAGGCAAGGGTTCAGGCTGAATCTCAGGCAAGGACAAAGGTAGGGGATGGGGAAGTAGTGGGGATTCTTGGCCTGTGGAGGTATTCGAGATTCCATTGAAAATAAAGATTGAGGAACCATCACCTGAGACACGAACAGCAGAAGGCAAGGACTCGCTGTGCAGAGATGGAAGACCCCAGAAGAGCTGGATACGTTTTTGCTGTAAATGGTCCTCTAAGGTCTTAGGATACTGCTGAGGCACATGCAGCTCCTTTGGTTTGTCTCTGCTGCTCCAAAAAGGAAGGGAGACGGCAGAGTCACGCTTATCAGCCACTGATTCTAACATTTTCCCTGGAGAATTTAGTTGGTAGTTTGGGCTAAGTTGTTTTGGAAAAGAATCTTTTTCCTTTTCCTTTTCCTTTTCCTTCCACGTCAGGCAATTGCTCCTTTTTTGGACTTGTCTCTCCAGGAGTGCCAGGACATCAGGGCTGAGAAATGAGAGGTTACCAGGCTCTACAAGGTTGGCTGCAGGGTCTCCCTCAAAAGAGGCCTCTGAAGAATGGAGAGCAAGAAACTCCTGATTGAAATCACATTGTGCCAAGGTCGAAGGGAACAAGTCTTTGGCATGAGCCTGCCACCAGAAGTTTGAGACTGACAGGCTTGAATGGTCAATGCCTTTGATTGTTGGGACATAAGTGGACAGTGCATCTGGGCTATCTGCAGGTGAGTTCTCGGGAATAGGCTTCAG